GTTCCTGAAAACTGTGTCGACATGCACGGAGCAGGGGTCGTCAAGGTATTTTATTAACATAATTTATTCAGAATTAACATAATTTATTCAGAATTAACATAATTTATTCATAATTAGCATAATTTATTTATAACTATTTCGCGATTCGTTACTAATTACGTCATAATTTTGTCATAGCTATTATTGAATTTTTATAATCAGATGGTGGGTATTTTTTGTTTTATCGCCATCATCATTATCATCTTCGAAATAATTATCATCACCGTCGTCATCATCATTCTCATCATCATCACCATCATCATCCTCACCATCCTCATCATCATCGTCCTCATCATCATCATCGTCATCATCTTCATCGTTGTCATCATCATCATCATCATCAGCCATTGGTTGACTTAGTCGGCAGTGATGACATCGAGACACAAGAAGCAGCTGCTAGCTGCTTGCTTAACATCCGCAGATTAGCTTTGGCCAATGAGAGAGCAAGGATGAAGAAATGACGTTTTTGTTTTTTTAAAATCGATGATGAAAATTGTTCCTTTTTTTCTAATTTTTAACAAATATAAGTTTTTAAGTTTTACTTTATAATTTTTTATAATACATTTTTTATTTTTTCATTCATAAGAAATGTTTAAAAATCTGGATATTTATTAAATTAGCTTAACTGTGCCTAAATTTTGTGAAGTGGATGTTCAACTTTGAAATATTTTTCACTCTAAGAATATTATTTTGTGATTTCAATTGATTTTATTTAAGAAAATGATTCATTAATCATGTTTAGTGTATTTAGAAATAAATTTTTTTAGCTGTTGTACGAGATGGAGTTGGTAAAACTGTGGCTATGAATGTTGTAAATTTTGTTTGATTTTAAAAATTTAAACTCCCAAAAGCCGCAATTGATAACAATTGATAACAAAACAGTTTCTAAAGTTACTGTCATCATCACAGAAATTATCATCGTCATCGTCGTCCTCCTCCTCATCATTAATATCATCATCATCATCATCATCGTCGTCTTCCTCCTCCTCATTATCATCATCTTCATCATCGCCGTATTTATTTTCAGAATTTTCGTGAAAAAGCCGATTTAAACAATCAATATATTCAAAACAACTTTCTGCCATTTCTATTTTATTTTCTATACTCATCATCATCATCATCATCCTTATCATCATCCTTATCATCGTCATCGTCATCATCTTTATCATCGTCGTCATCTTCATCACCGTCATTATCATCTTCATCATCGTCAACATCATCTTCATCATCGTCAACATCATCTTCATCATCTTCATCATCGTCGTCATCACCAAAAACATCGAACGACATAACGATGTTTGAGATCGAAGTTGAAGTTTAAGTAAAAAGCTAAAAAACTAATGATGACAACAACAACAACAAAAACAACAACATCATCAACAACATCATCAACAACATCATCAACAACATCATCAACAACATCATCAACAACATCATCAACAACATCATCAACAACATCATCAACAACATCATCAACAACATCATCAACAACATCATCAACAACATCAAATTCAATAGCGATTTATGACAGTGATGATGATATGATGATGACGATGACGTTGATGATGACGACGATGAAGACGAGGATGATTAAATAGATGGTTTAAATTATTTTTTGAAACATCAAATTAGGCGGTCGATCGATCGTAAACATCATCATTTGCACGTTTTTCAAACTGCACACAACACACACGCACATACAGACACACACACACAGACACACACACACACACACACACACACACACACATTAGTTAAACCATGTATGCATGTAGTGACATTTCATTTGTTCTCCATGCACAAACATAACTTCATAAGACAAGCTACCAGTCAAAAATTTAGTTTTAGAGTTATTAAAAAACTCAATGTTTGAATCAAGATAATCAGTTTGATATTTAATAAACGATGATATGTGAATAATTATCGTTAAAATAATATTAATGAAAGAGAGAGAGAGAGAGAGAGAGAAAAAAAAAAGAGAGAGTTCACATTCATTTAATATCATTGACAAAATTTTTATAGCGCCAATTTCTATTTATAATATAATATATATAAATATATATATATATATATAATATTAATAATAATATAATTATTATTACAGTTATAATAATAATAATATATTAATAACACTTGAAATATTTTTCCGCCATGAATTTCATATTTGGTAGAAGCATATCAGGGGCCAACGAAGGTAAAGTGGTGAGTGCGATGATGATGATGATGTTGCTAATGATGATGGTGATGGTGGGGGTAAAGTGACAAACGCGATGATGATGTTAGCATCTTTACTTATTTATTCATTCGTTTGTTCGTTCGTTCGTTCGTTCAATCATTCATTCACTGTTTAGACGACGAACTAGATTCAATATCAAGAAAAAAGAAGGTAAGGATTATAACAATTAAAACAAAATTGAAAATGAAAATAATAATAATTATGATAATAATGATAATTTTCATGATAATAATTACGAAAAGTTTGAGAGGCAGCATATTTCGATTGGCTCTATCTTTGACAATGATAATGATAAAGATGATGATGATGATGACGATGTTGTTGTTGATAATGATGATGAAGATGATGATGGTGATGATGACGACGACGATGTAGTTACTCCGTTTTATTCAATTTCCAATGTTTTAATTTAAATTTTAAAATAATTTTTCTTCATTAAAAAATTTTTTTTTTCAGAAGGCAACGGAACTGGAGATGGCCAAAAGGATGAAGAAACATGAAAAGATGAAGGTGATGATGATGATGATAGCACTAGATGATGATGATGATGATGACAACGATGATGGTAGATGATGATGATGATGACGATGATGATGACGATGATGATGACGAGGGCGACGATGATGATTATGATGATGATGCTGATGATGATTATGAGGACAATTATGATGATGATGATGATTATTATGAGGACAATGTTGATGATGATGATGATGATGATAGCACTAGATGATAATGATGATAGCACTAGGTAATGATGATGATGATGATGATTATGAGGACAATTATGATGATGATGATGACGATGATGATTACGATGGTGATTACAAACTTTACTAACTCTGATGGCGGAATTTATATTTTTTAAAACTAATAGGAAGAGAGAGGTAGAGTTATAAAGATGATTCAACAGAAGGTCAACTAATCAATCAATCAATCAATCAATCAATCAATCAATCAATCGATCGATCGATCGATCGATCGATCAATCAATCAATCAATCAATCAATCAATCAATCAATCAATCAATCAATCAATCAATCAATCAATCAATCAATCAATCAATCAATCACACAGTACGGACTGAAAAGTAAGGAAAACCTTTCAAACTCCCAGCCTCACATAACCAGGACCAAAAATAAAAACAGAAATGACGATGATGATGACGATGATGATGACAATAATGATGATGATGAT